GCATTTGGATATCATTGTAGATCAAGGAATCTACTCCTCCTTTGGATCATTTCTGAGGTAACAATCTATTACCTTAAGTTTCCTTATTCTAGATTCGTTCTTGGTTGCTATTTTGGGGATTATGGCTTGAGTGGAATCAATTTTGAGTTTAGAAGCTAGATCTGAAGTTGAAACCTCAGATCCAAGCTTGTAATGATCCTATTTGTTGTAAAGGTGTTGTCCTAGAGTGGTTGGTGAAGTCCCTTTGCCTTAAGCCTTAGCTCTAGAGTATTTTGGGCTTATTTCCCCATGGTTTCACGTAAAGTTTGCACCTTTACGTGTGGGGAAGGTTGTAGGAGGTTGGATCTATGGATTGGATCCCCTGCATGGCTTGGAAAGCCACTGTATGGATTAAGAACTAGAGGTACTCGGCGAGTCATATGGGTGTACTCGGCGAGTTGGATGAAGATAGGCAGGGACTCGACGAGTTGGAAGAACAACTCGGTGAGTCTGTTGAAGATTGCCTTGGACTCGACGAGTCTGTTCTTGGACTCGGTGAGTCTGGTCGCAAAGTCTTAACCTTTTTGGTTGAGTTGGGAATCGGTGAGTCGAGGGGCGACTCGGCGAGTTGGGTCGCGAGATGGGAGTTTTCAGAGCCTAGGGACTCGACGAGTCAGCGGGCTGACTTGGCGAGTAGAGCCAGTCAGGAAGTTTGACTTTGACTGAGGACTTTGACTGAGGACTTTGACTTTGACCAAGAGTTGACTAGTTGACTTCCAGGGGTAATTTGGTAATTATTGGTAATTATTGGTATTTATTGAGTTCAGTCTTTTGGTATTAACAGTGGTGGAGTTCGTGTCGAAGGTTGCAGCAGCGTAATCTTATCTCTTCAGTCAGTAGTTGCGAGGTGAGTTGTCCTCACTATACTAAGGTGTCTAAGGCACCAAGGCCGGCCCATTGGATTTGATATCCTAGTAGTTATTGATATGTTGAGTTGAGTTAGTAATGTATGCTAGTTGATATTCTAGTCGGGTAGATCTGTAGGACTGCCTGTGATACTGATTGATTACCTGTATGTGCATTTATCTGTTACATGTCGACATGTTGTGTGGGGTGGGTTGAGGTTGTACTACTCCGTGCGGTAGCCAACAAACCCGTGAGTATTTCAGATATGAGCTGAGGGCCCGATAGGCATTCGAGACTCATACTGAGGACTCGGGATCATTCTAGATACGAGCTGAGGGCCCGGTAGGCATTCCAGACTCGTATTGAGGGCCCAGGGGTAGTCCAGTTTGCAAAGTTGTGGACCCAGTGCATGTTGTTCTGTTTTGATTGATATGATATTCTAATGTTGATATTGCTATGTGGACTGTATGTGTATCGGTATTTTGGGGTAACTCACTAAGCTTTCGGGCTTACAGTTTTAGTTCTGTAACACCGTAAATTTCAAAGCAATTTTTTTTAATTTTATAAAATATATAATTCATTTAATATTCAGAAAAACAATCACATTTAAATATTTAATCCAAGTATTACAAAATCCCAAGATCTCAAATGCATAAACTCCATGCATGTGTACCGATCAAGCCGGCGCCTTCCTGCGGTCGTCACTAGTACCTCAAACAATAACATCAAACACTGTAAGCACAAAGCTTAGTGAGTTCCCCAAAATACCACATATAACACATATTAGCCACTCGAGGCTATAACTCTGTGAGTCCGTGCACCCAAACTCTGTGAACCCTCAGGTTCTAACTCTGTAAACATGCACAGCATAAATCACATAGAAATAATGCAGTACAACACATAACATACATAGCATACAAATACTCTATCACATAACTCTGGTTACCTACTCAAGGTAAAGTATAGTGAGAAGACTCACCTTGCATGTCTCGGTAATTCATAAATCCTGAAATCACTAATGCTCGATCTCCCGAGCTATAGTCCTCATATAGCACAATACATCTCTAATTAACACTTTCCCAACTAAGGTTGACTACCCCTTAACAAGTCAACTTAGGTCAACAGTCAATTTTTACCGGACTCGGCGAGTGCACTATAGCGACTCGGCGAGTTTGAGCGTATACACTGATTTTCCTGGAATCCTCCCTTGACACGTCGAGTATTCTCCTAACTCGACAAGTTCCACCTGGCATGAGTTGTGGAGCCACCACGACTCAACTCGCCGAGTCTCACGAACAACTTGGCGAGTCCAGCTTGATTCAGTCCACCTGTCCACTCTAACTCCCCCTGACTCACTGAGTCAACCCTCCCCAACTCGGCAAGACCACTCGCTGAGTGGTCGGGGAAATATTCATACTACTCGTTGAGTCTGTTCTTCGGACTCGGCGAGTCCGTGCCATGCAATGACTCAAACTTTCTCATAAGGTCAGATCTGATCCATTAACCCATAGATCCAGTCCTTCCAAGCTTATTTAGCACGTAAAGTCACTATCTTGATGCACATACAATATCTATATGACCATATTGATGGGTTTTGAGCATTCTAACACTTCCTAAGTGTACATGCAACCCTAATAACCTTGGATCTATGTTTGTCTAATTATCATGCAAAGTTGAATTCCAAGGCTATATTCCTAACTAGCATACATGGGGAACAATTTTAACTTGAATGATAGATAGAATAACTTACCTTGTTGTTGCTTATGTTCCTTGAAACCTTATGAGCCTAGCACCCCAAGTGTGATGCCTCAAATGCTTCACACAACACCAAATGCTCTTGGAAAGACTTTTGAGAGAATGCACACTTCTTGAATCGGCCTAGCCCTTTTGTTTCCTTAGTGTAGCCGATTTTGGTGGAGACTATGATTCTTATATAGTGTTGACACATCTAGGGTTACACCATGTAAACCCTAATGTGTCATGACTCTTCATTTCCATGACCCATGGGTTTGTAACTCCCATGGAGCATCCTATGGGTGGAACCCAACTTGATAATCCATGGAGCCTCTTAGCCCACTATACAAGATATGGATGATTTACATAATCAACCCATATATTTAATTAGTTCTCTTTTGATCACTTAATTAATTCTAAATTAATTATTGATCAAACTAATCAAATAATATTATTAATATATTAGAACTTATAATATATTAATAATCTCCAAGTGTTATTTCTCTCATTTAGTCTATCCAATTGCATGGTGCCATGCAACCCAAATGGACCATGCCGGGTCGGGTCAAGTACATACCAGAAATAGTTATGGACTTAGACACCTTATCCAACAGTCTCCCACTTGGATAAGTCTAATAACTATTACTGCAAGTATGACTTCAGGAACCGATCGGCAATCGTAGCTCTTTTCAAGGTTTCTCGGAACTGAGAAGATGATGGTACGCCATTTAAGATAAGTGATCATATAATCCTCTGTTCTAGATATCAGTCGGACAAATACATGGAACAATGTCTTACTTATTGTCCAACAGTTTGTTTCCCGATTTCCGATTTGTTTGACAAAGAACTTAATTGAACACATCAACTTAGTTCTGACCGGGCCCGGTACATGGGTCAAAACAAAATCATCGAGGGGCCCAGATATCAGCTTCTAATCCAAGAAGGAACAGATAAACTTCGACTCATATGTTTGTTCTACCACTCATTGAATTACACACAAGAGCACGATTTATAACATCGAGTTACCAATGCGTTTTCGTACAATCAATGCATAACCAACTTGTAAGTAACAAATCATATCTCTAGGTTTGAAGACTTATACGATATTACCGTCTCACGATCACTCGAGATAGAATTCCATGAAGTGATTCCAGTGAGCGTGGGTTGAGTCCAATGCTCAGAACTTATGAGCACTCATGATTGTTGTAGCCTTGTCCAAGACCTCTACAACCAAACATGACAGTCTTGATTCATACCTACTTCCGACATATGACCGACTGTGGAGGTTTGAATAATATGTTATACCAAAAAAATTATTCTGGAAGTCAAAACATGCAAAAGAAATATAGTAAACGATCGACAAGAGATAGCAACACTTTACTCATAAATAAAACACTTTTATTCATCATCAAATGTCAATTACACTTTACAAATTTCGAGGTTATCTAACTACTAAATCTAATATCATCCTTCAGCCCTATGCTCCGAGCATGCTGGAGATGCTTAACCCGAGTCAGTCCCTTCGTGAGGGGATCTGCCGGATTCTCATCTGATGATACCCTCTTTGCCACGAGGAGTCCTTCTTCGATCCGATGTCTGATGAAATGGTATTTTCTGTCGATGTGTCTGGATCTCCCGTGATCCCTTGGTTCCTTGGCTAAGGCAACAGCACTTTCACTATCACAGAAAATTTCCATTGGCTCTTTAATAGCTGGTACAACTCCAAGGTCTCCAATGAAGTTCTTCAGCCATATCGCCTCCTTTGCCGCCTCGCTAGCTGCAATATACTCTGATTCACAAGTAGAATCTGCCACTGTCTCTTGCTTGGAACTCTTCCAAGAAATTGCTCCTCCATTTAGGGTAAAGACCCAGCCCGACTGAGAGCGGAAATTATCCCTATCAGTCTGGAAGCTAGCATCACTATACCCTACAACTCTCAAGTCATCACTCCCACCGAGGGTAAGGACCCAGTCCTTAGTCCTTCGTAGGTACTTGAGAATATTCTTTACCACAGTCCAGTGTGCCTTGCCAGGGTTCCCCTGAAACCTGCTAACCATGCTCAGGGCAAAAGCTACATCAGGTCGAGTACACGTCATAGCATACATGATCGATCCTACAGCCGAGGCATAAGGTATTCGACTCATTTCTGCTATCTCAGCCTCAGTGCTAGGGCTTTGTGTCTTACTCAATTTGGCGTTACTCTGGATGGGCAACTCTCCTTTCTTGGAGTCCTGCATGCTGAATCTCTTCAGCACCTTATCCAAGTAGGTACTTTGACTAAGTCCAATTAGTCTTTTACTCCGATCTCTCAAGATCCTTATCCCTAAAATATAGGCAGCTTCACCAAGGTCCTTCATAGCGAAACACTTCCCAAGCCAGGACTTTACTTCCTGCAGGGTTGGAATGTCGTTTCCTATGAGTAGTATGTCATCCACATACAATACCAAAAAGCTAACTATACTCTCACTAGCCTTGACATACACACAAGATTCATCTTCACTCCTAGAAAAGCCAAATTCCTTGACCTTTTCATCAAAGTAAAGATTCCATCTGTGAGGTGCTTGCTTTAATCCATAGATGGATTTCTCAAGCTTACACACTCTATTAGGGTACTCGTTGCTGACAAAACCTTCTGGCTGACTCATGTAAACATCTTCAGCCAATTTTCCATTAAGGAAAGCGGTTTTGACATCCATTTGCCAAATTTCATAGTCATGAAATGCGGCTATGGCTAACATAACCCTAATAGACTTAATCTTGGCTACCGGAGAAAAGGTCTCATCATAATCCACTCTAGGAATTTGTGAGAACCCCCTTTGCAACCAGTCTAGCCTTATAAGTGTGTACATTACCATCCATGTTGGTCTTCTTCTTGAAGATCCATTTGCACCCCACCGTCTTACGACCTGGTACATTTTCAACCAAATTCCAAACTTGATTGTCATACATGGATTGTATCTCTCTATCCATAGCCTCTTTCCATTTAGCAGACTCGGGGTCTGCCATGGCTTCCTCGTAGTTGTTAGGGTCATCTTGACTTACTAGTGTCCCATCACTAATAAGTGTCTCACCTTCTGCAGTAATATGGAATCCATAGTAATGCTCAGGTGCACCCTAACTCTCGTGGAACGCCTCAGAGGTACAGATTCGTCAATTGGCTCAACAGGAGTTTCCTCCTCAAGTTGAGGGCTAGAGTTTGAAGTTCCTTCACCACTTGACTCTTGAATTTCTTCAAGATCAATTTGCCTCCCACTGTCTCCTTGGCTTATAAACTCTTTTTCTCGAAAGACTCCTCTTCTTGCTACAAAGACCACATTGTCACTAGGTGTGTAGAAGAGGTAACCAAAGGATTGCTGTGGGTAGCCGATGAAAATACACCTCTCACTTCGAGGTTCGAGCTTATCATGAGTCTCACGTCTCACGAAAGCCTCGCAACCCCAAATCTTGATGTGGTCTAGTTTAGGTACTTTACCAGTCCACATCTCGTGAGGAGTTTTGGCAACTTTCTTTGTAGGGACTAGATTAAGAATATGGGCGGCAATCTCTAAGGCATACCCCCAGAATGAGATTGGTAGCGTAGCTCGACTCATCATGGAATGAACCATATCTAACAAGGTTTGATTACGCCTCTCAGCTACACCATTCAAATGTGGTGTCCTGGGAGGTGTCAATTGTGAGACAATCCCACATTCCCCAAGATAGTCGAGGAACTCTAAACTAAGATACTCACCTCCTCGATCGGATTGAAGCATCTTAATGTTCCTGCCCAATTGATTCTCGACTTCCTGTTTAAATTCCTTAAACCTCTCGAAAGTCTCTAACTTATGTTTGATTAAGTAGACATATCCATATCTATTGTAATCATCAGTAAAAGTCAAATAATAACGATTAGCATCCCTTGTGGCATGTTTGAATTGTCCACACACATCCGTGTGTACAAGGTCCAATAAACCTTCACCCCTTTCACACGAGCCTGTGAAGGGTGACTTTGTTATTTTTCCAAGTAAGCATGATTCGCAACTATCATCTGACTTTAGGTCAAACGACTCCAAGACTCCATCCTTTTGGAGTAGGCCTATGCGTTTCTTGCTTATATGTCCAAGACGACAATTCCATAATGATGCTTTATCCAAGTTATTATTATTAGTAGAATCAATACACAAAACATTATTTCCTAAATTATCTACAACAGATACAACTTCATACACACCATCACAGGGTAATGCTTTAAAATAAAGAACATTATTAAAGA